AGATCACACCGTGGCCACAGGAGTTCATGGCTGCATAATACGGAAAATTCTCTGTGGAAGTTACGTTTTTTAAAGTAAAGAGAGCCCTTCCCTTTCCTTCTGCCCCTCACTGTCATTCTCCCTATGGGGGGCAAGGGGTGAGGGGGTGGGGGGGGGTGCGATGAGCCATCTGACCAGCGTCGCTGGGGAGTAAGGACCCGGAGGACTGAGACCATCTGCCCTCAATTGAGGTACCCCGGGTGTGGAGCTGTGATTTCGAGGTGGCGCTCATGCTGTTTCAAACACACGTCGTAAGGACTTCCCAGCTGGCCGGGGTGCCCCTGGAGCTGCTGGACGGCCCCCCACCCTGTAAAGGAGCTGACAGCCCTGTGGGACCTCCCTCAAAATGGCCTCAAAGGCTGCCCCTTTCTCCCCGTTCTTAGAGCATGCTCATCGGGTTGTATTTAATGTTTCAGTTGACTATTTTGTTTTGTTTTTTCTCGAGACGCCCACAATCCCCGCTGATGTTTCAGTAATGTTGAGAACACATTTACAGCCGAACTTACAATTACACAGTAGTGCTCTCCTGACTGCGTGGCAGGACGATCACTAACCAGAAACACTGAGGTCAGGGGGAACTGCCAACCGTGTCTCCAAGCCACGTGCGGTAACAGCTGCCCACTCAGTGGCACGGGGCACCACCACCAGAGAGGGGGCGAAATGCCAGGGGTACCACTAAAACTCAATGCAATTTAAAAACCAAAAAGACTCATGGGGAGCCCGGGCGGCTCAGTCGGTTACACGTCCAACTTCGGCTCAGGTCATGATCTTGCGGTCCGTTGAGTTCGAGCCCCACTTGGGGCTCTGTGCCAACAGCTCGGAGCCTGGAGCCTGCTTCCGATTCAGTGTCTCCCTCTCTCTCTCTCTCTGCCCTTTCCCCACTCACACTCTCTCACTCAAGAATAAAAAAATAAATAAAATAAAAACATTAAAAAAAAAAGACTCAGTGGTTAAAGAAATTGCCATCAGATTTCGGTATTCCAAAACCATGAGGATTCTTCCTAAAATTTGCCAAGAACACAGTGACTTTCCAAACTAGGTCCCTTTAGGGGGCAGCACACATTTCCTCGGGATCCTTCGTTGCCTTTAATTTTTTTTTTTAATTTTTTTCAACGTTTTTTATTTATTTTTGGGACAGAGAGAGACAGAGCATGAACGGGGGAGGGGCAGAGAGAGAGGGAGACACAGAATCGGAAACAGGCTCCAGGCTCCGAGCCATCAGCCCAGAGCCTGACGCGGGGCTCGAACTCACGGACCGCGAGATCGTGACCTGGCTGAAGTCGGACGCTTAACCGACCAAGCCACCCAGGCGCCCCCTTCGTTGCCTTTAAAAACAGACTTGTTTCCTTTCGGCGAGAACAAAGCAGAAATCACCAGTGGTTCTAAAAGGGGGCGGTCGGCTGACAATTAGCGGGAGTTTATGTAAACTGGGATTCGTGTTACATGTGCCCGAGGAACAGCCCCTTAGCAGCAGAAAGCAGCTCTCACATTTTGATTCCAAGATTCCATGAAAACTCAACCACACTGCACTTTTCACAGGCACTATTAACACTAACGTCAACAGGGGCCCCTTTCCTAAAGCCAGTGACAGCAACAGGGCCCAGGACGACGCGCTTCCTGGCTCCTTCCCTCTGCTGCCCTGTGCTCTCTGCAGCGTTAGCCCACCTTGGAACCAGGGCCCCAAGACCCGACTCTCCTCTGGGCAGCATGGCTCGCTGGGGAGCTGCCACCCGGCTTCCAGAGCGGGGCGCTCAGTTGGAAGGCGTGAATCCAACCGGGGATGCTACGAAAGGCTTGTGGGGGGGGGGGGTCTTGGGACGGCCAGTGTCACTGTGTCTGGGACAGGGTGACACAGGTCCCGAGCCTTTTTCCCACATGGATCTTACTGGAATCACCCGGACACCGGGGTGGGCGGCTCCTTCCCTGGCCCAGGCGCCCAGGGGCAGGACGGCGGGACTCCTGTGCGGGGCCAGCAGGGAGGACAGGAAGTGGACGTTGTAGGCCTGCGGCTGCGGGGCCACGGGCAGGATGGCGTCTTCCAGGGGGCTGAGGTCGGGGAGGCCGGGGTACTCCGCCAGCATCTCCTGGGCGTGGTCGCCCCCCCCCAGCTCCGCTTTGCCCTGGGTCTCACAGTCCGCCTGCAGCGGGGGGCTGAACGCGTGCAGGAGGGGCCCCGTGGGGTCCGCAGGGCTCAGGTACGCGTCTTTAAACATGTGGAACTCGCCCTCCTCGTGCTTCACCACCACCGGGGCTCTCAGGGTGAGGTTTTCCGAAACAAACGGACTGTCTGCGCTGAAAAGGTCTGTCACCATCTCCTCGGGACTGGACATCCCGCCAAGCAGAGGGGCCTCCTCCATGTCTGCTGAGGGGACCTCGGGCCGGGCGTCGCCCTGCACCCCTCGCCGCGCGCAATCCGGCCGGGAGCCAAGCACCTGCACACACATGGCCAGGTGAGGGGGGTGCGGCCCCGCCCTGACCCCGGGGGTCCCTCCATCCCCCACCCAGGGCCTGACCCGGGAGAGGTCCCCCCATCCCTAAGGGCCTGACCCGAGAAAGGTCCCCCCCATCCCCAAGGGGCTGACCCGAGAGAAGTCCCTCCTCCCCCCACCCCCGCCGTCCCTGAGGGCCTGGCCGGGGAGGGGTCCCTCTGTCCCCAAGGGGCTGACCAGGAAGAGGTCCCTCCATCCCCGGCGGGCTGACTGGGGAGGGATCACACCACTCCCCGAGGGTCTGACCCGACAGGTACCCCCATCCCCGAGGGGCTGACCCTAGAGAGGTCCCCCCGTCCCCGAGGGCCTGGCCCGAGAGAGGTTCCCCCCGTCCCCGAGCGGCTGAGCCAGGAGAGGTCCCTCCAGCCCCGAGGGGCTGACTGGGGAGGGGTCCCACCCGTCCCCGAGGGGCTGACCCGGGAGAGGTACCCCAGTCCCCGAGGGGCTGACCTGGGAGAGGTACCCCAGTCCCCAAGGCGCTGACCCAGGAGAGGTACCACCATCCCCGAGGGGCTGACCCGAGAGAGATCCCCCTGTCCCCGAGGGCCTGACCAGGGAGAGGTCCCTCCATCCCCGAGGGGCTGACCCGAGAGAGGTCCCCCCGTTCCCAAGGGCCTGACCCGAGAGAGATCCCCCTGTCCCCAAGGGCCTAACCAGGGAGAGGTCCCTCCATCCCCGAGGGGCTGACTGGGGAGGGGTCCCACCAATCCCAGAGGGTCTGACCCGACAGGTACCCCCATCCCCGAGGGGCTGACCCGGGAGAGGTACCCCAGTCCCCAAGGGGCTGATCGGGGAGGGGCCCCGTGGTTCCCAAGGCGCTGACCCAGGAGAGGTACCACCATCCCTGAGGGGCTGACCCGAGAGAGGTCCCCCCGTCCCCGAGGGGCTGACCCGGGAGAGGTACCCCCGTCCCCGAGGGCTTGGCCCGAGAGAGGTACCCCTGTCCCCGTGGGGCTGACCCGGGAGGGGCCCCGCGGTCTCCGAGGCCCTGACTAGGGGACCCACGGTCCCTCTCCCCTCCTGCAGACCCCTAGGCCGGGCCCGGGGACCGCGGGGATATCGATGTCGGCTGACGTTTCAGTTGTCGGAGGGGGCGCGGGCTCAGGCCTCTTCAGGGGAACGCACCTGGGGCCGCGGGGGCTGCGGGAGCGCGGATCCAGGATGCGGGGCGAGCGGGGCCCCTCACGTGCCCGTGGCCGTTGGCGGTTGGGACTGGGAACGGGGCGGGGCAGCGGCGGGCGGGGCCACTGCGCAGGCGGAGCCGAGCTGCGGGTGCGTCAGGAGGGGGCGGGGCCGGCTGCTGCGGGGTGGGAGGTCGGAGGCGGGGCGGGGGGCGGGGTGAGGGCCGGGGAAGCTCCCGGGGTCCTCAGCGCCAGGCTCACAGGGAGAAACTGAGGCCCTCAGACCAGTCTGACTTGTTCAGATCAAAATTAAGGTAGATTTTTTTTCCTTAAGTGAATAATACATAATCTCTCCTACTGAAATATTTAAACATTACAAATGGGCCTGAAGTTTCCTTAAGCACCATGCCAGTCCCCAAAGGGGATGCTGAAGTCGGCTGTGGATCTTTCCAGCCCTCTCCAGGGCCTCACTTACACGGGCATGTGTCGATGAGCTTACTCTCATTTTATGGCTGAAATAGTCACATCACGAGGAAGTTCAGCGGAGTTCGGGGCAGGGCTGAGAACGCAGTGGGGCTTCCCGAACTGTAGGGATCTGGAAGGCAGCCGACGCGAACAGCAGCGAAGAGCTCGAAGAGCCTGTGACCAAGCACATCAGCCCGTGAGGCCCTGCCCTTCACTCTCTCGTGACATTCGCATCGAGCCGCTCTATCATCAGGCGTGCGCAGCCACCTGTGTGAGTCACAAGCCAGCCAGACTCAAAGACCCAGGAGCTCTGGAACACTCCTAGATGTAATGCCGGCCCGGCTGGGTCAGCCAAAGCCAGAGCCATCTTGTTCCTCAGGCCCGGGCCCAACTCCACCTCCTGTTTGAGCCAGCTACGTCCCCCTACTCATGACCCTCTCGTCTGCCTTGGGACTCCAGGGATCCTTTGAACGGCTGTCTTGGTTCTCTCCTCCCCCCACTGGATCCAATCTCCACCACCACCAGAACCTGGTGGGGCCCCCGCTCTAGCGAGCAGAGCTTGGCACGCAATAGGCACTCAATAAAGACTACTGAGAAAACGAATTCGTGCATTCACCGAACAGATATTTGTTGAGCACCTACTATACGAAGGACACTGTTCCAGGCGTGGGGGCGGGAAGGGAACACATAAAGGGATGAAGAACAGAAACCCACGGCCCACAGCAGCTTCCTTTCTCAGCGAGGCCTGTGAATCTTGTGATGTGCACTCTGCCCAAGCCAGGCCATCGGCACAAACCCCTCACCTCTGTCTCCAGGGCCTGACTTCTTCCTTCGTCCCTGACTCATAGCCTCCTTATCAACATAAGGGAAGAGCCAGAAACAAAGACTGGGATTAATGTTTTATTAATGATAACATTCATCCTGCATTTCTAAGATTTACATCCAAAAGAGCATATTGTATTTACATGCAACGGACAGCCCAAGGTAACAAATTCAAACCACAGCTCCTTTAAGAAAAGACTATGGCTTATTCCACGTTAAATTAAATACATTAATACTCTTCCCTCCTCCTTGCAACACGTACACTAAAAACCCACTCTTCTTTCCTTCAGGAAATATAAAATTGCATTGATAACTGCGCTGGTTAACGATAGGTAATTACATTGGAAATATTTAAACCTGAGAGACAAGCCCAAATAGGTATTAAGTGCTACGGGTCAACATTCAAATTCACATGCGAACGCGAAGGGAATGCAGACTTGTCAGGTCAATAGTGCAGGATTTAGGTGGCTCTGACAGTCACCGATGCCCCCTTGATTGGAAGCCGTGCCCACCCGGGACAGACTGCGTTAGTCCCCACCCCCCACCTCCTTGACTGTGAACCACAGATGAACACGAGGGTTATCATAGTTGTTGGTTTTCATCTTAGTTTTGCTTTTGTTTTTTGTGGTTTTTTTTGCCTGTTTTCATTTCTTCTTTTAAGAGCAAAAAAAAAAAAAAAAAAATCTTTGGCCCATTTAGGTGGGAATTTTGCATGAAAACATATACATAAATAAATGTGCTCTGCAAGCAAGCGCCCTGTCTCCTCCAACAGTTCAGCCTGGCCATTGTATCACTGGAGTGCACAACTCTTTACAGAAGCAAGCCCGACCGGAGCAAAGTGGTCAGAAAAATAAATACACAGTTTTAAAAACGGGACAGCTGAGCCTGTCACTACTGCCCAGAGGCAGTGGGTTATTTCATTCCATGATCCTTAAGTGTTACATTAAATACGGAAGACGATTCAGTGCATAATCGCTTTTTGGTCAATCAGACTCTCTCCATAAAGGCACTCCCCACCCGAAGGATAGCACCTGTCACCGGTGACTCGTGGCGGGTCACCGAGATGGCGTGGCCTCCTGTTCCCATCTCCCCGCATCTCCGCTGGAAAGGAGAGGGGTCCTCCCTCCCCAGGTGGGGTTAGAAAGCACGCCCGGGGCCTCCAGGTGCTGCACTGTCCTGACCCTTCTGAGGTCACTCTTCCCGTTTCTTGAGCTTTTTTTCCTTCGTCAGTGGTCAACGTCACACCCTCCTTGCCGTCAGCCCGGGGAAGCAGTAATCCCGAGGCACGTCCTGTACCTTTTTATTCTTCAGTGACTACGGCAGACATGGTCATGATCTCCCTCGCTCCCCGTTTCTGACACACGCACACTCTTTCTTTTGTCGCTTAATGATGCAAGGAAGGCGGGCCGAAGAGAGGGCTCTAGGCCAGCTACCCTCCCAAGGAAACTGGTCTTTCTAGGGGTAGGGAAGCCACAGGAAACGCTTATTTACAGGGTTATCCGCTCCGTAAACGAGAAAGGAGTAAGATGCTCACCATTCCACCTGAAGGTTTGCAGAGCACATCTTTCCTACGGTCTCCCTTTCATTAGGGCCTCATGTTTTTAAGGCACTGGGTTTGAAGACTTGCACGGTCAGTAAAAACTACAGAATACGGGATGCTAACTCGCTTCAGACACGGAGAGGCACACACAGACTACCAAGCCAGACGAGGACAGAGTTACTACCCACAGGGACACAAAACTGGTTCCCAAAGCACAAGGCTTCCATTAGTGCATTATACACGCGTCAACTACGAACAGTCTAACATCTCTGCCTGGAACGCTTCTCTCTCTGCACAAAAAAAAGCTCCGATAAAAAGTAAATGCCCGTTAAGGACCAGGTATTTGGTCCCCACCACCGAGGAAACGTGCCACTGTCATTTCCCACGGGTGAAGTCACAACCCCACTAGTCCCTTAACTAGCTCAACCAGATTTTTATCCCATATAGAAACGCAGTGTGGCTGCAAAAACTTTCTGGGCTGGGGGGGGGGGGGCCCACCTTATCAAACATTCCCAAAGTCAGGACCTGCCAGGAAGTAGTGGGATTATACTTCACAGGGTGAAGAAGGCTGTTCTAGGAAACACCACCACCAAACCCCGGGCGGGAAGGAAAACTTGTGGGTTTCTTGAGCGATTTTTCACCCCGAGCTATAATCAGGAGCAACAGCTACTTTTCATTTGGTTTTTATCAGCAGAGCTCGTTTTCCTTCACGGTGGCTCTCGTGGGATTACTTTCTGGAGTTGGAGCTGAACCCAAACAAACCGATGATGTCAGTCATGGCCTGTTTCAGGTGCTTCCCAAAGCGATGCGAGTCCTGGCGTTCAAAAACAAAAACCGGGAAAACACACGTTACGACGCGTAGATCCCCATACCGTGAGCCACTTACAAACGGCCCCTTGCAAACATTCCTCTTTGCCAGTTCTCGAAGCTCTGACTTTATGGCTTCATCACTGCGTCACACGTCCTGAAGACGTGCTGAGGGTTCGCAGAGATAACCGGCCGTGTGCGTGTGCGGGTGTGCTTTCGCTGGAAGGCCTCCCCTCATGGCAACACGTTACATAAAACACGATAAATAAATGAATTCCAGTCCTCTCTGCTAACAGGGCACTTGGCATTGCTTTCAGGCGTTACTTTCCACGTGGAAAGGAAGCACAGAGACAAGGATAGGGGGCTCCAGCGTGGCTCAGTCGGTTAAGCGTCCAACTTCGGCTCAGGTCATGACCTCACAGTTTGTGAGTTCGAGCCCCGCGTCTGGCTCTGTGCTGACGGCTCGGAGCCCGGAGCCTGCTGCGGATTCTGTGTCTCCCTCGCTCTCTGCCCCTCCCCCGCTCACACTCTGTCTCTCTCAAAAATAAACATTAAAAAATTTTGTTTTAATTTTTTAAGTTAATTAGGTTGAGAGAGGAGCGCCTGGGTGGCTCAGCTCGTTATGCATCCCACTCTTGTTTTGGTTCAGGTCGTGATCCCATGGTTCGTGGGTTCAAGCTCCGCATCGGGCTCCACACTATTAGCACAGAGCCTGCTTGGGATTCTCTCTCTCTCTCTCTCTCTCTCTCTCTCTCTCTCTCAAATTAAATAAACTGAAAAACTTAGGTTAAGAGAATTTTTAAATTCATTTATTTGAAACAAAGTCCAAGGCAAGTAAAAGTATACAGTTGAACTGGTCTTTTCCATCAAAGTGAGGAAAAACACTTCTGTCAAATTAAAAAGAAGGCCGTAAAAACACCCCGTCTTTAGAAAAGGGGGCCCTGTTTCGTACTTACGGTCTCAGGGCAGGAGAATTTGGAAGATATGTGGAAGTTGATGAGGTTCTCGCCCACGAGGATGTAGGACACCCCATACCCATCGTCCGCAACCTACAGAGCAAGGCAAGTTTCAGCTGAACCTCGGGAAAGGAGACGATGTGAAAACGGGACTAACATTTTTCCATACAAGACTGGCATTAACACCTGCATTAACAATCTGCAGAATTCCTCTACAGCGGTGCCCGACAAGGCAAGGAGGGGCGCGTGGTACGTTCCGGAAGACCTGAAGCAGAGGCGGACGGGAGGGCGCGTCCTGTCCCCGACCTGCAGCTCTGTGTACATCACGCTCAGTCACTTACCGGTCCAAAGCCCCCTCCGCTGGACACATACTCTGGATTCTTCTCCAAATTGAACAGCTCTACCTGCTGCTGAGGGGTCTGGCTGGTTGATAATCTCCAAGGCTCTGATAAGACCTGTTGAGGACAAGGAGATTCTCTCATGGCGCTTTTTTAAGAAATGTTTTTAACGTTTATTTATTTTTGAGAGAGAGAGAGAGACAGAGCACAAGTGGGGGAGGGGCAGAGAAAGGGGGAGGCACAGAATCTGAAGGAGGCCCCAGGCTCCACGCTGTCAGCACAGAACCCGGTGCGGGGCTCGAACCCATGAACCGTGAGATCATGACCTGAGCCAAAGTCAGATGCTTAACACCCAGGCGTCTCTCCCACAACACTTCTCCCTGTACCGTCCTCTTCTGTGCCTGAGACAGGAAGCCCCACTGGAGAAGGAAAAGGCTTGCTCGGTGTCTGGGTGGTCACAGACGCCACAGGTCTGCGGCCCTGAAGGCCCGGCTGTCTGGGGGCAGTATGTGCGCAGAGAAGGCCTGGGGCAGATGAGGGCACCCAGATGGTTGGGGGATGGGCAGCACCAGCAGAAAAGGGGGCGGATACATTAACTAAGATTCGGAAAGGGGGCTGTGCTGCCCGGAAGCAAATTCACAGGAAGTCTTCGAGTTGCCTGTTAAACACGGCATTGCTAACAATTAAATTTTACAGCTCAAAATTAAACTCCATTACAGGGGGTGGGAGGGAGGAGAGGGTGGGTGATGGGTATGGAGGAGGGCACCTTTTGGGATGAGCACTGGGTGTTGTATGGAAACCAATTTGACAATAAATTTCATATATTAAAAATAAATAAATAAATAAATAAAAAATAAACTCCGTTACAAATGAGGGTGATACATACAAGAGCTCATCACTCCATGCTCCGTGCTCGAGGTCACTGGCGTCTGGGGGGGGGTCAGGAGGGTTAAATGTGACACCAAGTATTCCCGGGGACTGAAGGGACACGGCACTGAAAGCACAGCTCGGATCTGACACTGTGATGACCGCTCAGCTCGAACGCCCGTTTGTGAGGCCCCGTCCCACTTGCAAGGCTGCACCGACTTCGTCTAGGGGTAGCCGGCATGCCTGGCCGATCGGCCGCTGGCAGCCACACTCACCTCCTTCAAGAAGGGGGAATCCACGGCCAGGTACTTGGACACCACGTAGAGACAGAAGAGGTGACGGTCGATCCCGGAGCCAGTCATCGCCAGGCGGTACAGGTGCTGGTGCTTCTCGGAGGCGACCTTGAACAACTTGAGCCTCTGCTCAACCTAAGCGAGGAGGGGTGGGGAGATGCGAGCTGTGACGGGGGCAGGGGGGCCTAAGTCGGCTCTGGGACGCAAGCAACGGCCCTTCCCTCCAAGGGTCCGACGGCCCGAGAAACGGGGGTCTCGGGAGGGGCGTGCCGGGGCAGAAGCCCCACCTTGTGCCACCGAAAGGGCGGCTCAGAAACCGCAGGGGGCGCACGACAGGAGAGGCATGGTGGTCCTGTGTGCAGCCAGCCCGGCGTCACCTTGCTCGTGCCTACTGATGTCCTTCCAAAGAATCAGAAGCCTTTGGAACAGTTTCACCAGAGCAGAGTGGGGCGGGGCAGGGCCGTGTAGGGCAGAACAGGGCAAGCAGGTCAGAGCAGAGTAGGGCAGAGCAGAGCAGAGTAGAGTAGGACAGGGCAGGCA